ATTATGAAATCGTCATTCACATGAAAAATGTTTTCTTTAAACTATTATAAAAATATACTCAATAATGAATCACTTTAGAGAAATTTAACTTATCGTAACTTTGCTATTCCTTTTGAACTGTTTACATTTTTTAACAATAAAATTAAATAAAATTAAATAAATCTTCTTTTTTTAACTTATTTTATAACATCTTTCGAAATGTATCATTACAGTCATAGAATTTTTAATAAAAACCTCTATGTATACGAAAATATTCATTTATTTAAAAAATACATCGTAAATTATATTTTCAAAGTTAGCTCCTTTTCACTTTTCTTAAAATAAGTTTTGAAAATAATATGTTCCATTCACTTAATGTATATATATATATAACATGATAATATATTTTAAATATACTTTTAATTATTTTTAATAATATAATTGCAAAAACTAGATCGTTTTTTCCAATTCTCTAAAGATAGATTTTTTTTGTATTTCTGAAATAATTGAAATTTAAGTGTTCGGATATGCAAAAACATTTAGTTTAGGTTCCCATTATAAGTAATCGCGACGAGGGAATTTGATCGTTCTATAAAGAATTGACATAATAAATAAATGCGCTCACTATAAATAAGCATGATTAACGAGCTCATAAATAAATTTTGCACGTGCGACGCCTGATAATGATGCAGCGAGGCATTTAGTATTCATGCGGAGAAGGTGACTCATAATCCTATCTACCTACCGCGCCGTAATATAACGGGTGTAAATAAGATCTCGAGTCGAACGGCGACGATGACAAGCAAGCGCGATAAAAACGTGCGTGCCCGGCGGAAAAACCCGGCTTGTCCGTGGCTGTTAATTAAGTAATTAATCTCAGAACGAGAACGAAAACCAGATCCTGTCGGGATATCGTTAACATCCATCAGGTATAGTACTTCGACACGAAGGGCGTTTAAAGACTGATTATTTTAATAATGATTTGTAGTGTAATATCTCATTAATATGCACTGTCAATCTTTTGTTGTTCGACGCATACACAAAAGAAAATATTTTGAAAAAATTACAATTAGAAATATTGCAACAATTAGCAATTCTTTGAGATATGTAACT